CTGGCCTGATCACCCCCAACTGCTCTCTACTCCTGGCCTGATCGCTCCTAACCGCCTCGCCTCTGCCTCGGCCCTACCACCATGGCTTTGTCCAGAAGGATGTCCAGAAGGTCTCCCAAAAGTTCTCCCGGTCTAATTAGCATATTACCCTTTTATTAGTATAGATGATATCTACACAGGAGAGTTTTCAGCTTTCAATTTTAGCCCCATAATTTCCCTAACAAGTAATTAGGGAAAGTAGGTATCTGCTTGAGATGTCACTTTATCAATGTTATAACTTTTCTCTATGATTTTAAATTGTTAATTACTTCCTTCCAGTGTTAGTCTCATCCAACACTAGTTGAGATGGATCTCATTTCTCTCCTCCTCTTGACCACTCTTAGGAACTGTTTCTCCACAGCTTGTCGTGGCCTCTGCTCTTGCTTTTACTCTTTTCTTCTAGATTGTAAATTTAGATCTAGATTGTTAAATTATAGAGACAGAAGTAATCCAAAAACCATCCATACACACCCTTGGATTTCTGACAAATAATTGTGTAATATCTATGAAGCATTTCCTATGATATGCCAGGCACGAACATGAATTTTGAAGTCAGATGGACTTGGCTTCCAATCACTACTCAGCCACATCAGGGTTAGTGGCCTTTGATAAGTTACTGACCTTCTCTCATCTCAGATTGATCATCTATAAGATAGTGACAATAATTAATGTATAGAATTTTTATAAGAATATAGCAGTCTTAATCAGTCATAGAAGGTATCATTTCCTAAATTCGTTCTGTGTCCAGTAACCTAAGAGTTAAATCTCTTAAATTAAATCTTTTAATGTTCATAACTACCCTGGGAGTTTCTATCATTATCCTCTCTTGCTAGGAGTGAGAATGGTATTATGAAAATAATGCAATATTGCCTTTAAATATAAATGATATATGGAGAAACAGTCCAGCACAGTGTCTCATACATAGAAGACATTCATTGTAGTTACTGGGTTTTTGTTTATTTCTATTGTTATTGATGTTCTTGACCTGTCCAAGGGCAAGAGTTCCAATATTCTACTGTAACAGTTACCACTGTCATCTATTTCTGTGGCTCTTTACCTGTTATTGTTATCCAGTTTCTCAGTCATCAGTTAATAAATTAATCCTTTCATTCTCATCAGTGAACAAACCAGTCTTTCCATGTCAGTGTATATTTTGGTTCTTCAGTGCTTTTTGTTTTCTGCCCAAAGGTTCATTTCCACATCTAGATTAGTTACTATCAGATGCTTAAGATTGGCAGACTCTAAATAGCTGAGCCATTATTATAGTCTTTCTTACATCGAAGTAGACCTGCCTCCTCAGAAGTACCCTCAACATGACAGAGAGATAGATGTGGCATGAGTCAGGTTGCATTGTCCAGAATCACTCATCCTGTGAGGAAGTATTGGGCCTATCACCCAATTTCAATCAACAGGTGATAGGCCCACAATGCAACCTAAGAGTTAAATCTCTTAAATCATTTAATGCTCATAACTACCTGTTACAGTAGAATGTGATAGGTGATGTATCACAATGTTGAAATTATATTTTTAAATGAACATTGCTAAACCCACTTAAACGGATATTTTAATTTCAAGTAGTTTATCTTTAACCAAAAAGAATTATTTTCAAAAAGTCATTACAGCAAATTTTTACTTTACTGTGATTAGAGGATTAATCAATTTTTCCTGACAAAATCAATGATAACACATTCTCAGGACATCACTGAATTTACCTATGTCTGTGTCTCCTTCTGACAACAGTGGCTTGCAAATTGTAAGGCGACATTTGCTGGAGGATCAAGAGATGGCGTAATTACCTGCCAACCAGGGGATTCAGAAGAAAAGGTAATAAAAACCTTTTAGATTTTGTCTTTTCTGTACTCTGACATTGTGTGTTGGTTTTGATCCTTCCAAGAATCATGGAACTTGAGGAAGAGATGAAATGAATCATCCATACATTCACATGAAGCCAATAAAGTAAAACAGAATGCCATTCAGACCACGCATGAATGTGTGTTCATGGGACTGGGGGGCAGGGGTCGTTTTGGAAAAATAAAAATAACCTTTCTTCTGGACACTGTCTAACTATACTAATCATTTCCTAATAAGTCTGTTCCATTAAGAATATGAAATCAATTTCATTAATTTGTCACTAAATCCTCTGGTTCCTTCAGTGAAGAATCTTTATTGACATTTCAGCATTCTATTTTTTAAATTTTCAATTACATACAATAATATATTACTTTCAGGTATACAACATAGTGATTAGACATTTATGGACATTTATGTAACTATGAAATGATTCCCCCCAGTAGCCTAGTATCCACCTGACACCATACATAGATATTACAATATTATCAACTATATTCCCTATGCTGTACTTTATATCCCCATGACTGTAAATGCCAATTTCTTTTTTTTTTTTTGTAAATGCCAATTTCTACTTCTTACTCCTCTCACTTTTTTCACCCAGCCTCAAATGCCCTTCCCATCTGGCAACCATCAATTTGTTCTCTGTATCAGTTTAGTTTATTTGTTTCATTTTTTAAGATTCCACACCTAGGTGAAACCATATGGTATTTGTCTCTCTCTGTCTGACTTATTTCACTTAGTATTTCAACCCTTTAAGTCTAGCCATGTCGTAAATGTCAAGATTTCATTTTTTAATGGCTGAGTAATATTCCATTGTATGTATATACCACAACTTCTTTATTCAATTGTCTATTGATAAACAGGTTATTTCTATATCTTGACTATTGTAAATAATGCTGCAAGGAACATAGGGATACATATGTCTTTTCAAATTAATGTTTTGGATTTCTTCAAACATCCAGAATTAGGATTGTTGAGTCATATGGTAGTTCTATTTTTAATATTTTGAGGAACTCCATACTGTTTTCTATAATACCTGCACCAATTTACAATCCCACCAACAATGCATGAGGATTCCTTTTTTTCCACATCCTTGCCAATATTTGTTAATTGTTGATTTATTGATAATAGCCATTCTGACAGGTGTGAGGTGATATCCCACTGTGGTTTTAATTTGCATTTCACTGATGATTAGTGACATTGACATCTTTTCACATGTCTGTTGGCTATCTGAATGTCTTCTTTGGAGAAATGTCTATTCAGTTCCTCTGCCATTTTTTAATTTGATTGTTCTTTGGTGTTAAGTTGTATGCGTTCCTTATATATCTTAGATATTAACCCATTTCAGATGTGTCATTGATGAATATTTTTATCCATTCAGTTTGTTGATGGTTTCCTTCACTGTGCAAAATCTCTTTATTTTGATATCATCCCATTCTTTTTGTTTCATTGCCTCAGAAGACATCAAAAAATATTATAAGAGCAATGTCAAAGAGTTTATTGCCTGTTTTTTTCTCTCACAGTTTTAGGGTTTGGGGTCTTACACACAAGTCTTTAATCCACTTTGAGTTTATTCTTGGATATGGTGTGAGAAGGTGGTCTACTTTCATTCTCTTACATGTATCTCTCCAGTTTTCCCAACACCATTTATTGAACAGACTGTGTTTACCCCACTGCACATTCATGCCTCCTTTAACACAGTTTAATTAACCATATAGGCATGGATTTATTTCAGTTCTGTTCTGTTGATCCATGTGGTTATTTTTATGCCAGTACCATGCTATTTTTATTACTACTAGAGGCCTGGTGCACGACATTCGTGCACTGGAGGGGGAGGGGTTCCTGGGGGGGAGGAGGGGCCCCTCCAGGCCTGTGCCCTCTTGCATTCTGGGACCCCTCGGGGGATGTCCGCCTGCTGGTTTATGGGGAATGGGCCTAAGCCTGCAGGTGGACATCCCCCAAGGGGTCCTTAGTGCTGCCATGGAGGCGGGAGAGGCTCCCACCACCTCCACTGTGCTCACCAGTGGCTGAGCGGCGCTCGCCCTGTGGGAGCACACTGACCACCAGGGGGCAGCTCCTGCATTGAGCATCTTTTCAAAGAACCAGCTATTCATTTCTTGATCTTTTCTGTTGTTGTTTTTTTTCTTTTCTTACTCTATTTCATTGAATTCCATTCTAATCCCCCTGGTGGTCAGTGCACATCATAGCAACTGGTCATCCCACCATTCAGTCAATTTGCATATTAGCCTTTTATTATATAGGATAGCCCTGTGGTATAGTTTAATATCAGGTTGCATGATACCTCTAACTTTGTTTTTCTCAGAATTGCTTTAGCTATTTAGGGTCTTTTGTGGTTCCATTATATACGTTTTAGGATTCTTTGTTTTAGTTCTGTGAAAAATCCCATTGATATTTTGATAGGGATTGCATTGAGTGTATAAAGTGCTCTGGTAGTATGGACATTTCAATGTTGTTAATTCTTTCTATCCATGAACACAGTATATGTTTCCATTTATTTATATTTTTCAATTTCTTTTTTTAATGTCTTATAATTTTCTGAGGACAGGTATTTCACCACCTTGGTTAAATTTATTCATAGGTATTTCATCTCTTTGATACAATTGTAAGTGAGGTTGTTTTCTTAATTTCTCTTCTGATATTTCATTATTGGCATATACAAATAGAACTGATTTCTGAATATTAATTGTGTTCCCTGCTACATTACTGCATTAACTTACTAATTATAATAGATTTTTGGTAGAATCTTTAGGGATCTCTATGTACTGTATCATGACATCTGTAAATGACAGTTTTAGTTCTTACTTTCCAATTTGGAAGTCTTTTATTTCCTTTTCTAATCTGATTGCTGTGACTAGAACTTCATACTATGTTGAATAAAAGTGATGAAAGTGGATATCCTTGTTTTTTTTTGTGATCTTAAAGATAACGCTTCCAGGTTTTCCCCATTGAGTATAATGTTAGTTGTGGGTTTGTCATATATGCTCTTTGTTATATTGAGGTATGTTCCCTCTATCCCTACTTTGCTGAGAGTTTTTATCATAAATGGGGGCTGGATTTTGCCAAATGCTTTCTCTACATCTATTGATATGATTATAGGATTTTTATCCTTTATTTTGTTTATGTGGTGTATCAAGTTAATTAATTTGCAAATATTGAAATAACCTCAATCCTGGGAATAAATCCTACTTGAACACGTGTGTGATGTTTTTAATGTATTGCTGAATTTTGTTTGCTAATATTTTGGTGAAGGTTTTTATATCTATGCTCATCTTGGATGTTGGCTTTTAATTTTCTTTTTGTGTAATGTCTTTGAGTTTGGTATTAGAGTAATGCTGGTCTCACAAAATGTGCCTGGGAGCCTTCCATCCTCTTCAACATTTTTGAATAGTTTAAGAAAGATAGGTATTAATTTATCTTTGAATGTTTGTCATCTAGTCCAGAGCTTTTGTTTGTAGTGAGCATTTTGATTACTAATTCAATTTCATTACCAGTTTATCTATCTGTTCATGTGTTCTGTTTCTTCCTGATTCAGCCTTGGAAGATCATATGTTCCTAGGAATTTATCCATTTCTTCCAGGTTGTCCAATTTGTTGGCATATAATTTTTCATAGTATTTCCTTATAGTCCTTTCTATCTGTGATGTCAGTTTTCACTTCTCCTCTTTCATTTCTGACTTTATTTATAGTAAAACCTCAACATAACAGACTAATTTGGGCAAGGGGGTGTCTGTCAAAGCCAAAATTCCATTATATAATAAAGTAGGTTTTCCAAATGCATGTTAAAAAATTGATAAATTAGTTATTTACCTATTTTACTTATGTAGACACATTTGTGTAATTAAGTACATATGAAAAGTTCAATTTTGCAGAAAAGTTTTCTATATGTGTTACAGTAATTTTAAATATACTGAATAAGTCTAGTAAATGCATGCATTCACTAGTCACTGAGAGTAAACAAATGCACAAGGCTGGGGCATGGCTTAGCACACATCAGAACATTGGCTGGCATGAGTTTAAAGTCACACCAGGTGTGATGCTGTCTGATCACATGATAATTATTCACCAAACATTGTTTTTGAGCAGTGACTCTTGGATTTAAATATGTAGACTGTAGTTGTAGATATATAACATTTATGTCAGTGAAATTACTACCCTCTTTTTTCCAACATATGGCCTATTCACTAAAATTTGTTTAAAATAACAGTGAATTAATAACAAAAAAATAACCTGTTAATTTAGTTATAAGCAAATCTTAGTTAAAAGCATTTGAAATTAACTGAGTGTTAATTTTAAGATATGACATATGGACAGGACATTTTGTCCATTAAATCCGAAGTCCATTAAATCTAGATCAGCAAAATGAAGGGTTTACTATATTGGGGCCCTTTCTCTTTATTTCTTGATGAGACTGGCTAAAGGTTTACCAAGTTTATTTATCTTTTCAAAGAACCAGCTATTCATTTCTTGATCTTTTCTGTTGTTTTTTTTTTCTTTTCTTACTCTATTTCATTGAATTCCATTCTAATCTTAATTATTTCCTTACTTCTACTTACTTTGGTTTGTTCTTTTTCTAGTTCCTTTGGGTGAGGTTACATTGTTTGAGATTTTTTTTTTCTTATTTCTTAAGGTAAGGCCTTTAGTATTATGAATTTCACTCCTAGGATTGCTTTTGCTGTATCCCGACTTTGGGCATTGTATTTTAATTTTCATTTGTCTTATGGAATTTTTTTTATTCCTTGATCTTATTGTTAAGCCATTCATTGTTTAATAGCATGTTATTTAACCTCTGTGTGTCTGTATGCTTTTCAGTTTTCATCTTGTAATTTATTTCTAGTTTCACACCATTGTGATAGAAAAAAATACTTGATATAATTTCAATCTTAAATTTATTGAGATTGTTTTGTGGCCTAACATGAAGTCTGTCCTTCCATGGTTACTTGAAAAGAATGTATA